GTTCCTACAAAGCTGGAAAAAGATTGCGACGGAGAAGGTAGCTGTGTACTTTTTCTTTTGAAGATAATGTACTGGCCAAGTCATCTTATGCACCTATAAAGTGATAGGAGTCGTATTTAATCTACAACTTCTATGGTTTTCTCTAAGTGCATGTTTTGCCTAGGTATTTGTTGATATCAAATATACTATAAAGAGTTTATTAACCTAGTTATGTGGAAATTAGCGCAGGCTAGACTTCATTCTAAACAAAGGAAAACCATGCAGCGTGCTTGTTGCATGTTTTCTTTTTTACGTCGTTTCTATTCAATCAACTTATTTTTTTTTGAGAATTTTCTATTCTATCAACTTAGCACACTTATATTTAGGTTTTAGATTAACTTGGAAGCTAATGGTGCGTATTTCAGTATTATGATCTCGTCTCTGTAACTTTTTCTGTATGCAGTAGTTGAATTAATGGTTATAGTTCTCCTTAGCATCTTGTAACCACTTTCTTCTGGTTATATGGGAAAAGAAAATTGAAAATTTCTTTGAGAGTCTGACATTATGTGTTAATTATGTAACATCGTCATTCGTTGGACTAACTTCTAAAAGTTTAATCAAACTAAAAGTTCAGTCTGGAAAGTTTTATGTTGTAGGATTTGAATTTTACAATAGTCCAGTTTTGTCCAAGAAACATCAGAAGTAACTCATGTGCATGTTTGGTTGATGCAGATTTAGTTGTGTTTACATAGTTTTGAGATAATAGGCTCCATCACAAGTCCTATCCAGTCTGGTATTCTCTTGCACTAGGGCTAGAGCAATATATTTTCTTTAGAGTTTACTTGCTTGGCCTGCTGGGTGTTAACCAAACTTTCCCTTTATGTCTTCACAGTCAAAAATGTGTCACTCCCCGTCACCCCCTTTCTCTAACATCATTTATGTTTTCACTTATATCTGGATTGAAAATGAAGCTGAGGAATTTAGGCTGTGGTCTGTAGCATTTAGGTAATAGTAGCTGTTTTCCTTGGACTGACTTTACGACCTGAAGCAAGCATGGACTGTGTGTGGTTGATGGTAACATTCCAAGGATACAAGGTCACTGTACTAACTTAGTTACCATGTGAAACTGATGCTACAAGTTGGACTCGGATAATGTAGACTGTGACCCCTCCCGTTTCTCGTAGTTCCATTTTGTTCACATTTGTTAAGTAACCCTTAATCCACAGATATTTTGGTCGCCTAATGCTGTGAACGATGAAGTTTTTGCTGTACATCTAGGCATCTAGCACATCTGATGCCCGGAAAATGGAAGTCGGAAAGTATTTGTTCTTTTTTTTTTTAGGTCCAAATGATATTGCTTCTAATTTATAAACTACTGATCTAGTTCAGCAATATCTTTGTACTCTTCTTTTACTTTTTATTTCTTTGTGATGGCTGCAATCTGAAGTGATCATAGCTTAAATGACAGGGGATACCAATTGTGTTCAAATTTGTTGGAGAATCTCTTGAAACTACTCAATATTACTTAATTGATAATATAGAAAAAATTACACTGTCAATATGTAGATTTCAGTTTCATTGAGAACATACTCCCAAGAGAAAGACCAACATAATAGGATGTGGTTGAATGGATCAAATCTATCTGTCCTGAGGTTTCTAGTTTTCGAGCTTAGAGAAGAAAGAAAAAAAATTTCTTTCCTAAAATGGATCTTATGTGATGTGAATTATAATTAGTCAGGTTAGTAGTTTCATAATCAAGTGATTAGCCGACTCAATTCATTTTTTCATCGAATGATCTTTCACCTTAGGACTAACTTTGATCAGCGTATCTTGATTGCCTCGATAATGTTACCGTTGCAAGCTACTACTTAAAGAATAGGGAGTGAATGATCCTTTTTATCAAATCTACTAGATGGAAGATGATCGAGAGTCAACTATTGTGTTGCACAAGATGGTGCCTTTCACTTTGAGGTTCCTTTCTTCGTAGTTGAATATAATGAAATGTTCTATTTGTGTTACCTACCATATAAAAGATCTGTTAGGTGATCGAAATTGCTTTGGTCAGTGAAGACTCTTATTCACTCACCTACTCCTTATCTTTCCTCTTGACTAATTGCGTCGGGATATAAGAAAGATACAATTTTTGCAATACTTGATTGATTGAGAAGAAAGAGCTTCCATAAAAATTGGAAGCCTCTTGCATGTACGGTATGTCGGTAACCTCTCTCCAGCTACCTAAGCCAAGAAAATACGAACGAAGTGATAGGCCCTTATAGAAGATAGACGATAACTTTATTGTGGTTGTAATTGAGAACATCTCCCTCTTTTCTTAGCCTAGACAACTTACTTATATGTCGGCTTAGGCATATTTCTCTTTCTTAATTTTGTGATGGACTAATGATAATGAATGAAAGTAAGTCTTTTAATAAGTGTATCTAAGCGATTGTTTAGTGTATAAGCAATTCTTTAGTGATCGTAACAGAAATATATAATTTTCTAACTTACCTTTCCTCTCGTGTAACAGTGCAATACTAGTTCAGATGTTACGAGAGAGATAGTGACAAAAATGGACACAACACCATCTCCTAATAAAATCCAAAGGCTATAAATTTGTATTGGATTATTGTTAATATTGTCAATCTGTTTTTCTATCGTGTATTTTTTTGATGAGTTGATTTTGGTGAAATGAAACGAAAAAAATCTATGTTTTACTATCATTTTTAATTTTACGGAAAAATCTTCTTGTCCAGAATTTGGCCATATTTATATTATTTTACCTTTTAAAATAATTTTACCCTTTTAACTAAAAATGGATGATCAAAATCATTTAGCACTTCCCTAATTTAACCAGACAAATACATCAAATTCTTGTACAAAAACCCAGAAATTTAGTATGACAAAAGTCTTTTGAATAAGTTTCATCCTATCATATGATTGATTAGTGTGTAATTTTACTTTAATTTACACCCACTTTTAAGTTCAGATTACTTTATTTGGGGAACACGTATCAATACACCCCTCCCCCCCACCCCCCTCCCCAATATTAGGCAAAAAATAGTCATAAAAATATAATTAATTTAATTTGCTTAAGATTAGATGCATTATAGTTTTTTTTATCTGAATTATTACCTTCTACTAGTTATGTAGGAAAATGGACCAATCAATATTAGAATGTGAAATTCATGAAAAAAATAATAGTTTAAATATATATATTTTATTATTTCTTTAATTAATTATTTTAAAAACTTGTCGGATTTATCATAATATTAGAGACAAAGACTCTTGCCATCACAAAACAATGAAAAAATTGTATTATAAAACATATTATTTTTGTCTTATTTTCATCAAGCCAGTTCATTGAAAAAATATATAATAGAAAATAAATTTTTATCGAAATACTAAAATACCCCACCCCATCCTCCATTCCTATTTTATTTATTTTTGAGTTTCTTATTTAGTGTCTGATACCTATATTGAAGTATAATTATTTCGAATTCGTGCAGTGTAGGGCTCGATTCAAAAGGGAGCACTCTCTACACAATGAAGGACTTATTTTATGTTCAAAATTCAAATCCAAAACTTTTAATTAAATGAGGAACAATCTCATTCACTCCACCACATCCCGTTAAATTTAGTATGTCATCCTCTCTTCACCATAATAAATGTATTTATTGACATCCTCTCCCTCATTCCTCACACACGCAAATTCCTTTCTTCTCTGTTTTTGCTCTCTTTTGTCACTCTATTTTCAGCATTTGTTTACTGTTTCTTTCTTTAAAAAACAGATTTAATTATTATACCTCTGTTTTTTTTCCCACCATTTCACACTTGCAAATAAGAAAAATAATATTTTCTCTGTTTTTTTTTTTTCTTCTTCTTGTGAAAAAAAAGCTTAAAGTAGGTTCTTTTTTGAATGGTGCCCATTTTGATATGCTCGAAGATCGAAGAACTCCAATTTTGATCAAATAAGAAAAACAAGAAAAAGGTTAGCTTTTTGTTCTAACTCTATTTTTTTTTTTGGCTCAAATTAAAACTTCATTCTCATAGCTTTTGATCAGAGATCTCGGGTTTAAGCTCTGAAAAAAAAAACATGAACTTGGATTAGTTGGATATTTCAATTGTCAATACAAATACCGGACACCAGAAGAGAAATAAGAAAAAAAATCATTTTTATCATCTCTGGAGTTCAAGTTTTGAATATGTAAAAAATTCGGATAGAAATGATTCCTTCTTGAATTGGTTTTATGTTGTGTGAATCCAAAGTAATCGGACATTCGGGATAATACTGGGTGTGAGACACACAAAAAAAAGCTTCATTTTTTTTTTGTGAATGTAAAATGTTGTAGATGCAACAAGCTCAATTTTTAATTATTTTTTATGTATGATTCTCTGTTTTTTTTTAATTATTATTTATACAGTTCAGAAGAACAATGAAATCGGCATCATGATAAATCTGAATCGTCTGAAATAATCCAAAAACATTTTTAATCTCTACTTTTTATATTAGAGTTAATGGTGAAAAAAAAATATACGTTATTGCTTTTTCACGAGTTTTGTAACTAAATTTTCTCTTTATTAAAACATAACTTGATGTTGAGTTCGCCTACTCGTGCCTCTTATTAATTGAAAACCAAATATTTGGTCATGATGAGTGTTTTAATATAAAGAGCGTATTAGTTTAGAGGTGTGTTTTACTATTAACACTCTTTGTATTATGGTAATAAAGAAAGTTGATTGCTTGTATAAAAAGTTGTTTATTTTAGGAGGATTTTGGCCAATTATTATATGATCATATACACCTTTTTCTTATAATGGAAAAGTGATATTTTCTTTTCCTAAACCTTTTTTGTTTACATAATGTTAACTTTAGGAGTAACAAACAAAAGTGGCAATGCATATCACACTTCTATTTTAAATGTTTTGTCAATATCTGATTTGTAATTTAGGAGGTTGATGAGCTGCATTTTGGCCAATATTAATTGAGATTGATATCAAGATCTACGTACAATTTATCCTTATCAGATGAATATGATGATCGTGAGACGGACACTAGCTTGTTGTACAAGAGATAGAGAGATTAGTATTGACTTTGGTGGAGAAGAGAGTAAGATTCCCTTTTTGTGTTCCTTTTATTTGTTTTTTAGAATGTCACATGCTAATTTCCCTCCTATAATTTAGGTAAATCTAAGTTTTTTAATACAAAATGAGGATTATACTTTTCCACAAGTGAATGCTAACATATAGATTAAGTTTACTATATATAATTGAACTCCAACCACCTCATGTTTAGTGTAACTTTCTTGACTTTTGTGAACTAGACGAGTCTAGACAGAGTCAGATTCAATATATGAAGTTTATGAATTTTTATAACGACTTAAACTTAAATATATATAGATATTTTATTACTTGTAACCAACTTTCTAGATCCATCCCTAAATTTAGAATGTGGATATTTACACGTTGGTTATTCTACAATGATTATTACTACGTCTCTAATTGTTTATGTCACTCCATTTAAGCTGTCTCTTACCAATATTATTAAAAATAATGGGATGTTAGTTATATGTGAATGCTTATTAAAGTCAAGTGCTTTTAGCCAAGATAAGAGTAAGGTCTACGTAAACTCTATCCTTTCCGGCTCTTACTTGTGTATGTTGTTGTTATTTATTAAAGTCAAGAAACTTAACAACCAAATGTAGAGCATCAATGTCTTGAAGTTACAAGAGAATTTTTTTTTTTTATATTTTTCATAGTTTATAATTCAAGATCTTTTGTGGGACCCTTAAATTGTTAGGTACAACATGTTTTGAACTTATGTGTGTAACATGTGAGGAACATAAACTTTCAACTTTTCTTGTCTATTTGGTAAATGGAAAAATGAGAAAGAATCTTCCACTGTGAAATAGATAGATGGCATTATAGTGATAGTAATTTGTCACACCTTTGAGAGTTTTCTTGTTTTTTTATATATTGTCTAATTTGTAAAATGGGACCTAACTCTCATTTCATGAAGCACATAAGTGACTATGGGGACAAAATAGTCATTGTCTATTGGTATCAAAATTTCTACTTTTGGTATTCTCTTTTCAGTATGGTCTATTAATGGTTCTATTTGTTTATATTGTAAAGCATAAATACCTCTCAAAACTTATTTTTTAAAAAAGAATCATTGAGATATGATTAGCTATGCATATTTAAAGGATAAGGCACAAGCACCCCCTACACTATGATAGAAATTTCAGACACATCTTAACTAAATTAAGGTTCTAACCCCGAACTCATTTTTTTTGTAATTTCATACACCTTTTTGGCTTACGTGACATCCAAACATCTCCCACGTGCCTCAACTACGTGGAGTCACTGACAGTGGCGGATCCAGGATTTCTGTGGAGGGGGTTCGAAATATAAAGAAGTAAACATGTGAAAATTACAAGATAAAAAACTGAGCGAGATAGGAGGAAACTAGTAATCTGAATCCAATAAGTTTAACTTGCCTTGTCATGTCGCATTTAATTTTTTTTACTTTTACCCTTTTTCATTGAGGTTTTTTTAAAAAATATTTCTTGTGCTTTTTTTCTCTTTTATATTGCAGTGTTCTACTCTATTTTTTGAATTTTTTTAAAATTCAACCACTAAGATATTATAATATATATTCATAAGATAAATAATTGACATCGTCGATTTTTTAGTTCATTTAATTCAATTTACTAGGTTAATCATTCGTGAAAAAGATAAATGATGAATAGAACAAATAAGTTTAGTTTTAGATTTTATTAAAAGATTATACACAATTTTTAAATTTCTTCATTCGATTAACTTTAATTTAATTTATTTTATATAATATTTTTTGTAAATCAATTTCAAATTTAATAATAATTCATCGTTAGTACATGAAAAGAGACTTATGTAGAAATAAAATGAGAAGTATAAATAAGAAGAATAAAAGACAAAAGTATCTAAAATATATAAATTTAAACAAAGATAAATTGAGAAAAAGAAATAGCATAGAGATAAAAATAATGATAACAAAAATAATAAAACTTTACATTGAACCAAAAACAATGAGGCATTTCATTGAGTTGGATTTGAGCCCGAAACGAGAGCCCATTCAACCTTCCAAAAACAATGAAATATAGTTGGATTTGAGCCCAAAGCAAGAGCCCATTCAAAGAAAAAAAAAACAAAATGGGAAAATGTTGCAGCGAGTGGGAATCGAACCCAGACCCTCTTTCGGTTAGAGTTGAACTCCATAACCACTGAGCCATGCTTCTCTTTATATTTGAGGGGGTTCATTTTAATATATGTACTCATAAAATCAGAAATAGACCTTATATATACAGTATAATTTTTCAACGAGGGGGTTCGGGTGAACCCCCTGCCCTCCACGTGGGTCCGCCCCTGGTCACCGAGTGTGCCATGAAAATCAAAAGGTGTATAAAATTACAAAACAAATGAGTTCGGGGGTATAGGACCTTAGTTTAGTTAAGGCGTGTCTATGGAATTCCGGTCACAGTCTAGGAGGTACTTGTCCTTATCCCAAAATACTACTACTCTCTCCTTTTCACTTTGTTTGTTTACTTTTGACTTGACACGAAATTTAAGAAAATAAAAACTCTTAAACTTAAGATACGTAGAATGTAACACTATGCCTTTTAATCTCGTGGTCTTAAATATGTTGGTAGAAAGTTAGAATAAAAGAGGAGTCAAAACACAAAGAGGCATTCTTTTTGAAAAGACATAATACATAAACATGACCTTTAATTTGGCTTCATAATACATAACTATGACCTTTTTAAACTTCGTGTCATGTTAAGGTCATGTTTATGTATTATGTCTTTTCAAAAACTGATTAAAAATGAAAGGCAGATAAACAAATTGAAATAACAGAAGTAATAAAGATAACCTTTTTATTGTTTCCCACTTGGTGTCCGCCTGTCCGGTATCCATTTTGGGTCCGGACTAATTCCAAATCGCCACGTTAACCTATTAAAGAGGAAGTACTCCCTACCAAGATTTTTTCAACTGAGACCTATAGTTAAGGGCGGAGGGCGAAGAGTTCGGTTTTTTAAGTTCTACTATCAATTTTGAAGTATTGTGAATTATCTCCTTTATGTTCTTCAAGCAATATGAGTTGAGATGGTCGTCTTTGAAATGAAAAAGGAAAGTAAAATGCAGCTAGCATATGGTTTATTCTGTTATACTAGTGAAATGGTAAATGTAGTACAACTCGGGATCTATCGTAGGTGCATTCTACGAGTTAAAAATCCCTTCGTGAACAATGTCTTGTATTTAAGTGAAGAAGGGTAGATAGACGCGACCATAATCTTCATGGAGAAGTCATTTAACTTGTATCTATTTTCTTTGCAACTGATCGATACCTCGAGTTGTTTAGTATTCTGTACAATCTGTTTTTGGCACATCTTGTAACCAACACAAGAAACCATTATATTGTTATCTTTATATAGTTTTTTCGCGTGATCTAAAGCCCTGTATCTAACTAAATCTACGAATGGTTCTTCAGGAATTACAACGTATGATGGCCTCGAGAGCTGCATACTGAACAGTCAGTCTTATGACAATGAAAGTGTCAATAGCAGAGTTGATGTTGGTGTTACAGATTCTCTATATGATGACGACTCGAATAGCTCTTCTAGCAACAATGTTTTTGGATCATTTTTATCTCACTGGACAACAAGCCCTCAACATTTTTATGTGAACGAAAAAACTGGTTGTACAACACAACTTTCGGATGTGGAAATGATGAAAGAGAGATTTGCAAAGTTGTTGCTCGGGGAGGATGTGACCGGAGGAAGCAAGGGGGTTTCTACTGCATTAGCATTGTCTAATGCCATTACAAATCTTGCAGGTACATAATTGTTACTTCTTTATTGATCAATACGTTTTAGTGAAGAGACTCTCTGATACTTGAGGTTCTTCTGAATGTATTTTCGTTCTGTCTAATGCTATACTACTACTGGATTTAAAGCGTCTGTGTTTGGAGAGCTGTGGAAATTGGAGCCACTTGCAGAGGAACAAAAGATGAAATGGAGAACGGAAATGGATTGGTTACTCTCACCTACCAATCATATGATTGAGTTAGTTCCTGCTAGACAAAGTGGTTTGAATGGCCAAAGTTTGGAGGTAATAACTCATTTGATTAATCCGTAATGTGAAATGACAAATTCACTTAAATAGAACGACATGTTTAGTGAGAATTCATATGGCATAGTTGTCGTTGTTATACAAAACGACATATTGAGTTCCACTTCTCATTTGATGAGCAGATAATGACACCAAAAGTTCGTGCTGACATCCATATGAATCTTCCAGCACTTCGGAAATTGGATTCGATGCTTCTTGTAGGTGGTCTCTTAAAATCCTTTTAACTTATACAACTTACACTATGCATCAACTTGGGACCACATTCTTAAAGTTTCCTTCTCGACTTGATAGGAAACGCTGGATTCAATGGTTAGTACTGAGTTTTGGTATATGGAAGTGAGTTCCCGAGCAGAAGGAAAGAACATAAAGTGGCGTCTTCCTTCACCTAAGGTACCCGTAGCTGGACTCTCTGAAATCGAAAGAAAGAAATTGGTGAATCAAGGGAAATTGGTGAATCAAATATTCAAGGCAGCAAAAGCTATCAATGAAAATGTCTTGGCTGAAATGCCTGTTCCAACAGTTATCAAGGATGTACTCCTAAAGGCAAGAGAATTCTCAGTAAAGCTATTTTACTATTGAGTTTACGTTCTATGTACTGACATCGTAAAAAGTTTCCAAAAAGTGCTTATTTGAAAGAGTCGAGGTGTTTGACCAAGCTTTTAGGAAATGATAAGTTGTTTTTCAGATGTTGAAAGTAGTAGTTCACTCGTGGAAACACTTTCCGAACCTTAGTCAAGAGCAAATTGTTGCTCTAGTATTGACTTTTTAAAATTGATTAGCTAAACACAAACGGCTACTCTCCTACTTATGACAAAAAAAGAACCAAATTTATCGCTGAAAATGGTAACTAACGTACTATCACAAATTAAGTTACACTATATATTGTAAAAACTTTATATTGTCGATGTATATAACTCATATCCTTTGCTTTATGGTGTACTTAATTTGTTGAAATTGCTCAATTTGATCGATTCATTCCTGCAGTCTAGCAGGACAAGCCTCGGGGACGACCTTTATAGGATCCTGACTGCAGAATCAACTTCTGCTGAGGAAATGTTCAATTCTTTGAATTTGAAATCTGAAAACAGCGCGGTTGAAGTTGTTAATAGGTTAGAAGGATCCATTCTTGCTTGGAAAGAGAGAATAACTGATCAAGCTAGCGGAAAATCTCCAGCTCGAAGATCTTGGTCTTTTGGAAAAGATCCAATATCTGAGCTAGACAAATTGGAGGTCTTATTGTGCCAAGCAGAAGCTCTTGTACAACAGCTCAAATTTGAATATCCTAACCTTCCACAGACGTTCCTCAACGTCACAAAAATCCAGTATGGCACGGTGAGATAATCGTATCCACTAGTAAATTTTGTTCAATGCAACTAATAAGGATGATTCTACTAGTAAAATTCATCAAATGCAACTACGTTCACTTATGAAAAGGCACATTTCAGCTTTTGTTATAACGATGTCATTATAAATGTGATATAATTGTCTTGTCCTTAACTCGCGTTAAGATTATATGTATATATGTCTCTATGCTGCTATGATGTACACGAACGTGCTGTTAAATGCTCACTAACATTGCGATTAATCCTTGTTCTTTCTGTATCATTGTAGGACATTGGACATTTGATTATGGAAGCATACTCTCGAGTTCTCTTAAACTTAGCATACAACATTCTTACACGGATTAGAGAAGTTTTGCAAGTAGATTTCTCGAGCAACCTCAACTCACCTGCAGCTACTGTCTACTCGAGTCCTATATCGAGTGATGAAACACTCGTTTATCGAGCAGATGAACAGAGCTGATGGACATTTTAGAGACTCCTATGAAGATTGTAGCAGCATGTCTACTGCAGATTCACCTCAACAGAGTTGTTGTGCAAGTCTTTTTGTGATATATAAGTATATGGTACTCAATTAAGAGATAAAATGTGTGTATGGAAAACATATGTCTTGCATTTATCGACTTGGTATAAATACCGATTGTGTAAAAAAAATTATTCACACATGATGTTTACATCAAATCATATTGGTTTATTGTGATTAAGTGATAAACTAAAGTAAGAGTGCGTGATTAATTGATTATGGTTTAGTGATAAAATAGTACTAAAAAAATGTGTCATGTATATGTTGGTTTGATATAAATATCAGATACAAATAATTTTAACATATTGTGCACATATTGATTCACGTTCAATCATTTTTGTTTGATATTTAGATATATGTGCATGAAGTTCAAACATTTTTGCTTGAACTTCAATCATATGTGGAAGAATTCAATCGTTCTTTGCATGAAGCTAAGTTGTTTTTGCCTGAAGTTCATGCATATATATGAGTAGAGTTCAGTCATTTTTGTTTGAACTTCAGCAGAATAAAACTTCAGACACCACATATCTAAAATTATTTCTGATGGATTTGCAAAAAATATAAAAAATATAAAAATCTAGGTTCAAGTTAAACATTAGTGTCCAAATATGACACCTTGATATATTTTTTATGATTCCAAATCGAACCTACCATATACGAGTCTAAGATCTTAAAAAAATTCACCTATCATTGCTTAAATGACCCTCCTTTTGTTATCTTTGTAACTTGTAACCTTTTTTTTTATCACAATCTAAAATATTCCTTTTGTCAAGATGAAATTTTATAAGAAAACGTTAGATCACGATCTATATTTAAAAAAATATATGAGCAAATATTAGTCAATAGCCTATATTGCACTAACTTTTAAAAATAGTGACAAAATTTAAATAGTACCCTTAAAAGGGAACATTTGTGTAAATCTTTACTTATTATTTGGGCCAGACCCGAATAAGTATAAACTTTCACAAAACCCTAATAAGACATCAACATATATTTGCCGCATTTAGGTCACAGTCACATTCCCTATTGCCCTCCCGCCGATCAGAGCCATTCTCTTCAACAATTTCAAGGTAAATCTCCATTGACAGAACTATTTTTGTTCTAATTATGTGAATTGTTATCAGTTTTCATACACATTTGGTGCGATTTCCATTTTTTGAAGATTTTTTTTCATGTGAAATTGGTGGTGTTTTGTTGTATTTGAAGATGTTGTTGTGTTATCGGGTTCTAGTTGTGGAAACAGCTTTTTGTAGAAATGCAGGGGTAAGGCTGTGTAGAATAGATCCTTATGGTCCAACCACTGTGTATAGCGGGAGCTTAGTGTATCAGGCTGTTGTTTTTTGTTATGTTTGGAGATCTGAATTAAGCAAGTGTTTGTGTGTGTATTTAAGTTGTTAAGTGTTTTGAAGCCTAAAGGAAGGTTTTGTTTGCTGTGTTTGAAATGTTAGCAGCTGAAGGATTACTTTAGTTGTAGTTTGGTGTATGGATTAGAGTTTTGAATGCTGAAGAATATAAAATACTGGAAGAGCAATGAAAGAACTAGTCAGTAGTCACTATTGTTGCCTTTATGAATGTGTATTCTGATTCATGAAGCTGGGATATACTGTTGGAATAGGGAGAAGTGAAGTGAAGGACTCTGTTACTTTTGCCGCCTAGACATAGAGTGAAAGTTGATTTCTACCCTTACAGTTGAGCTGAAGTGTGTGTGTTTGTTGTTGAGTATTTTGAAGCGCGTTAGGTTTTTTTGAAATGTTAGCAGCCACTAAAAGATTACTTTAGTTTTAGGTAAAGCATTTGAGTTATGAATGCTGAAAAGATTAAAAAAACTAGAAGAGGATAGAAAGAATTAGTCATTATTGTTCCTTTTATGCATGTGTATTCTGATCTCTATGAAGTTGGGATATTTTGGTGGAATAGGGAAAAGTGAAATGAAGAGGTGTGATAGTAAACAAAATGAGTCTGGTGTCCGGGCTTTAAATTTTTTCTACTTTTTAACACAGAATCTGACTATATACACATGTAAGTGAATATCCTCCCACCACAATATTGGCACAAGGCAATGTGTTGTGCTGATGGTGTAGTAACCAGAAAGTCCGTGGGATGATCCACCTTTTTGCTGATATTTGAATGGAACGGAGAAATTAGACATAGTTTACTTTAAGTTGAGAGTTAATGTTGGTTAATCTTGTACAGAGATGGGTGAAACACCAGTTCCAGAGTCAGTTTTGAAGAAGCAGAAGAGGAGTGAGGAATGGGCTCTTGCAAAGAAGCAAGAACTTGAATCTGCAAAGAAGAAGAATGCTGAGAACAGGAAATTGATCTACAACAGGGCAAAGCTGTATGCAAAGGAGTACGCAGAACAGGTACTATCAAACTCCGTATTTTTTGGTCAACATGCTCGTATTATGTTAAGCTTGGTTATCAGAATTCAATTTCCTTTTCTTAGGACAAGGAATTGATCCGTTTGAAACGCGAGGCTAGATTGAAAGGTGGTTTCTATGTGGATCCTGAGGCAAAGTTGTTGTTTATCATCAGGATACGCGGGTAAGAACTATTTTGGTCTTCTTCGTTCTATAGTATGATGAAATGATTAATACTATGATACTCTTAAAATTTGATCTTTCAGGATTAACGCTATGCCCCCACAGACCAAAAAGATTTTGCAGCTACTACGTTTGCGCCAGGTACACACAACTCCTTTCTTATACCCTTAAAGAAGACGTGTATAATTTGATGTTTGCTGGTATATAGGCTACCTTTGATATATCCTTATATTGTTTTGTTTGCTGGAAATCCACTTGAGTATGTGTTGGGGTTATATCTCTCTCACTTGATAGTTAAGTACCTGTGTTGATCCTGATGATTGGACTGGCTTGTTATACCAAGTGTCTGATCATCAGCCAAGTTGTTGTGTTGTTGTCAAGATTATTTATAATTCTTATGTTATTCTTCTGATTCCCCTCTCGTTGAAAACAAAACAAAAAATATTTCTGGTTTTCTGGATGTGTTCGATTTTGAGAATGCCTGTTTTGAGTTATTTTAGTGTTACCTCTCTGCTCTAACAGTGAGCTCTTCTTCCTTTCCACATTTCTTGTGACAGATCTTTAATGGGGTCTTTTTGAAAGTTAACAAAGCCACAGTGAACATGTTGCATAGGGTTGAACCTTACGTAACCTATGGGTGGGTATCACTTAAAGCTCTGCTGTCTTCTCAAGTCTTTCCTCTCTACTGCTATTGCAAACTTGCAGTCCCTTATTTCCGTTGTTGTATCTTGCAGTTACCCAAACCTAAAGAGTGTTAGGGAATTGATCTACAAAAGAGGTTATGGAAAGCTTGACAAGCAGAGAATTCCTTTAACCGACAATTCCGTCATTGAGCAGGTAAGTTTCTGTCAGTTCTTCATCTCCGAATTTAGTGTTTTGTGATGTTGACAACTCAGAGTTCTCCGTGTATGTTTCAGGGATTGGGCAAACATGGAATTATCTGTGCTGAAGACCTTGTCCACGAGATCATGACTGTCGGGCCCAGCTTCAAGCAGGCCAACAACTTCCTATGGCCATTCCAGCTGAAGGCACCTTTGGGTGGACTCAAGAAGAAGAGAAATCACTACGTTGAAGGTGGTGATGCTGGTAACCGCGAGAACTTCATTAACGAACTTATCAGGAGGATGAACTAGAGTGCCTGAAATTTTGTTTTCTAGGCATTTTTAGTGATCAACAGTTCAGAATTTCCTCCATTTGAGATGTTATTTTGGTTTATGATAGTATACGACATTATTTTTGTTTTAATCCCCCCAGTCTCTATCGTATTGTGTTGGATTTTTGAATTTATGTTCATTTTGGTTTCAAAGCTATCTAGTTTTTTTTCTTCTCTTGAATGTTGAATGTACCATTTTTGTTGCAGTACTCTTGTTTAATTACATTCACATCTAAGTAGCTTTATCTAAATGCGTAGAGTAGATTGATCAACACTTGCGGCATAAATTCATTTTAAACTTATTGGTCCTAGTATCGTAAATAAATAGTCCTATGTTCGAATCTAAGAATAACATACCTTAATTAAAAGGTACAACGGCTCAAGCGACCAGACATGACAGCCTTCTATTTTTGTTCAAATAGCCAATTGTTTAAAGCTTCAGTAGATTGAGTTACTCGATGTAATTATATGTTATACCAAACATAAATGGGGGTCTCAGACTTACTCTCTATAAGTTGGGGGTGTGCAGTGGGGTATATAATTTGAAGATCTATTGATTCTAACAACTGATTGCAGAGTTGATCATTTGGATCTTTCAATTCTTCATAGATGTAGATCTCGGACCTATGAATGTTGGAATTGACACTCTAGATCTAGATAGATCGTATCTTGTAAATTTGAAATTCTTTCTTTTGTATTCTTTAATGACCAATGATCTCATCTTTTACGGATTCGATCTTCTTTGACTGCACATGAATTTGTGGAGCTCAGCATGCCTGGAAGCATAGGAGAACGTTCGTTTGTTGATATTATTACCAATATTCAATACTTGGTCATTCATAACACGTGAAGAGAAACCTTTACAAGTTAAGACGAAAAATATGTACGCTCTTATAATATTATTCAACGTTCGGTACATAAGATAGATGAGGATATTTAGGATTAATTTTATTTGGATAATAACTCGGATATAAAATTTAGGATTAATTTTATTTCATGTTTTGTTCGACGTATTAACTAAAGATATGGTGCATTAAAACACATCAAAATAAAACAAGGGGCTCATTTGTAACTTAAGTGAGAACTATAAGGACTTCATTGAGATTTTCTCTTCGTTACAACAGAGAGCGGCGGCCGGCGATGAAGTTTTGCTGGTAAGATTTCTGTTTTCTTCTTTTAATCATAAAGAATTCAATAGTATTGTTGTTTGATTCAGAAAAATATTTGTTTTTTTTGCAATAAATAAATAAATAAAATAATGAAGAGACCAAATTAATATGTAGATATGGATTTTGCAAATTCTTGTTCTTAAGCTTTGTTTTATATTCAGGTAGGAATGTTCTTAAGGAATTGAATTTGAAGGGTCTAGTTAGTTTTTAGAGAGGTAGGATTTCACTGTATATATACTGGGTCAGAGGTAGATTCAGGATTTGAAATTTACGTTATTGTATACCAGTTTGAGCAAAAGCTAGTGGGTTCCCGTGAACCCATAGGTAACACTCTGAATATATTCTAGCTAAATGAAGATGCAAGAATGGTACTTTCTTGATTTAGCACAAAGTTTGAGGTGATTTCTCAGATGGGTCATTCGACTAATAGTTGTTATCTTAGAAAGTTATTATCTTTGTTGAAAAAAAATTGGAATCAAGAAGAAGGGTGACTTTTTCACCCTTCTGAGATGATAAGTATTAGTTGAGTGTTTAAGAAATCAACCCCGTGAAGTTTTTAAGCTTAAAATGTAGATTAGGTCCCGTTTCGTTGTGCATATTGGTGAGCTTGCTAAGTAGTTGAGTAAGATATTTGTAGTGATGTGATACTATTGAGCTATCTAAAGCTCTATTTTGTGTGAGGAATAAGTAAATATTGAAACAAGGGTATGCTTCATTGTTCGACTATCAAGGATCAATTTTTTATTTTTCGTATAATCGAAGGTTAGGCTTGTTGTTTAACTAATTGTGAGTTTTTCTCTATGATTGTCTGATATGTGAGTAATTTTTATGTGGTGAGGTAAATCCCCAAATTTTCTGGTTGTAGGTATTGATCTTAATATAATACATGGGATTGCCGAGATTTAAACGTCCTGTAGGGACTAGTGAACCAAGTTCAAATCTTTATGTGGCCAATTGTGGACCTGCAGTTGGACTAACTTTGGACACAATTGAAGCCGTATTTGGTGCATATGGTCAAGTTAAGGGAGTCCATCTTGCTGATGAAAGTGGCACTAGAGTTATTGTGTCTTATCATGAAGAAAAGTCTGCAGAATCTGCCCTGACGGAGTTGAATAGACGTGAATGTCCTGAGCTTGGTGGCCGGTCTTTGCACATTCAGTATTCAGTACCCTCTATTTGTCAGGTGATTATCCTTATCCATAGTAAAGTCTTGATTTTTTTTACAGTCATGTAATTTTCATGAGATTATTTACCGTGCTTCTCTTTTGAGCATGTCGATTCAATTATTATTTTGAATGTACTGTACAGTGGAATTAGACAGCAGCTTTAAAGCATGATATAACATAACTGATTGCATAGAGCTTCTGAGGGACCCTTCACCATTCTTCCTTTCGGTTAACATGTTTGCATTTCTTTCTAGTCATTGCTAGATGAAAATTGAATTTATGAAGGATGATATAGTCATATAAGAATCAGTGCACTCATGCTTGACGTAAGCGCCCATTTTTCATGAATTAATGTTTGTGTTCTTTTATCAATTTTGGCCATGTCATTTAGGAACTGGTCAGTGTGTCTGTGAACTGTGGGTATTAAGTGGAACTTGTATCAGTTTAGCATAGAGGTTGCCGATTTCTTTTGTCTTTACTCCCTTGAATAACTTCTGTTGATAGTTTGTATATGTTTCTTTTCTTTATGAGCTTGCTTTCTGGTTCAGGTTGCAGTGGATGACTCAATTGAGGTGTCGATGGAAGCTTCAGAGTTAGATATTCCTGGTCTTTACTTGATTCATGACTTCATCAGTGTCAAAGAGGAGGAGGTCAGGGATCTCATTTTTGCGGGAAAATACTATAGGCATTTACACTATTCTTATATTTTCTCCATCCTTTCTCAAACCTTATTCTGAAGAGTTTCACTCAAGTCTAACTCAGTGTTGGTGAATCTTTAGGAACTACTTGCAGCCGTTGATTCAAGGCCTTGGCAAAAACTTGCTAAAAGAAGGGTGCAGCATTATGGTTATGAGTTTCACTATAATGTAAGTGCAGACCGCGTGGGTATTTGGAACTATGGAAATGCAAGTAATTATACCAGCATATAGCAGAAGCATGTTTTTTCTGAAGTTAGATATATGTATATGAAGAATTAGTTTCTTTGCTCTTCTTTACATCTGTGACCTGTTTTCTTAAATCAAAAATCCTACTGGATCTACTAAAAACAACCCCCCCACCCCCTTCCCCCTGGTCAAATGAACAAATCATAACAAATATGGGAGAAGAAAAGAGCAAGATGGTTTAAATTGAACGTTCTTGTTTTCCCTTGCTTGGATCCTTTGTTTTTGTACCAAAGGGCTACACATGTATGGACTCTTATTCTCAGAACCTGTGGTAGTGAAGAGTTAAGGGTAGCATATCGGGTCAGAGGGAATTAGCATTTCCAAAACCACTAAATCGGTTTAGCGGGGGATGTGTGGTTGGCACACGTTATGAGCTCGATTCTAGTGGAGCAGGGAAGAAGGTAGGACCCACTATCTACTCACTTTAGAAGTTGAAAACAGTGGATGTCTCGGTTTTAAAAAAAAATATCTGTAAACCATACAAAAGTCCCAACGAAATGCTTTATTGTTCCATCAAGGACAGCTGAACCCCAATTTTGGTTTGATTAAAATGTTCGAGAACTTCTATTTGCCACCTAATGGACCTATTAGACTTCTTCTGAGCTATCAACATTAACTTTCCCCTTCTCGTTTTCTTTTAAGCCCTTGACAATTCACAACTGCTTAAAAAGTTCATTTGCAGATGTTAGAAACTCTTGACACTCTCTGCTAAAAGCTGCCAATATCTCTTATATTGTTTATTTCTTTAGATTATTAAGCTTTCAAAGGCTGGTAGGCTTTAATATCTAAAATGCATTTATGCTTCACAAAAAAAAAGGATCTAAAATGCATTTATTAAATTCTCTCTCTATTCGCCACTGCAGACGAGGAATGTCAACACAAATCAGTACTTGGGTGAACTTCCATCATTTCTTTCGCCAATAATTGACAAGATGTCAAAGTTTCAAAAGCTTGGTTACACTGAAACCGTACTTTTGGACCAGCTCACGGTTAGTTAATTTCACATCTTATATTTCTTCATTTATGAGCTGTCCCTCCATGACTTGTCTAGTTTTATGCTGGGCAAGGGAACTAGCTCTTGTCTGACTTGCAATGTCGTAAGGATTTTCATTTTCATTTTCAGCGATAGCTTTAGTTTTCAAATGTTTTGTATGTCATGAACTTTTGTTGTTAAACTTTATGAAATGTGTTACAATCTTTAACAGGTTAATGAATATCCACCCGGAGTGGGATTGTCTCCACATATTGACACCCATTCAGCATTTGAAGGATTAATATTCAGCCTTTCATTGGCAGGGCCTTGCATCATGGAGTTCAGAAAGTATTCTACTAGTGTTTGGCCTACAGACCCTAACGCATTGAGTGATGAAGAGGCTCAAAATTCCGACAAGAGCTCAAAGTTTTTGAGAAGAGCTATTTATCTACCCCCTCGATCTATACTGTTGTTATCACGAGAAGCACGCTATGCTTGGCATCATTACATTCCACACCATAAGGTAACTCCTGCTGCCAATGCATGTTCTTTAATCGCCTCCCACCCCCACCCCACCCCCACCCAAGTCAATAAGTCGACTTTTGCTCCCTGCAACTGTGCACTTAATGATTTACTTCAAACATATGCTTCCTATCCTTGATGATGGTTTCAATTTTTTACCTGTTCTCTTGTGGCTATGACTTGGGATTCTAATATGTTGAAAATTTTGTTTTAAACCAAATAGATTATCTCTAATTCTTTATTACTGTCAACCAGAATTTCATTAGAGAATGTGAATCTTACTTCCAATGAGTAGTTAAGGTGGTAATTTGATAAGCTAAAAGATCCAGTTTGGAAGAGTTCACAATACGTGAGTCACTTCGAATGTTGGAAATTATGTAAGTGTGTCTCTCAGGAGAACATGAAATGAGTTTGATGCTCTTATAGCAACTTGAGTTGGATATGGTCTTTAAGAATTTCACATCCAACTATTATGACTCGAAACTTGGCCTCATTTACTTGTGCACCTAATTATTGGGAGCTCATTGACATCAAATTTCTCCTGCAAGAAAGTTTTTGCTATCCCTGAAAAACTTGAAAATTTTGGGGAACATCAAAAAAATTCCAAACTTTGCACCGACACCAAGTATTCATCAACAAGTGATACTTTTTTTCTGAATTTTCCAAAATCAAAAAAAGTATTTTGGATTATTGGGAGAATAATGGTTTAAGTGGGACGTAACAAGAGTTTTGATTTTAATCCGGGTATGTAACTGAGGATGTGGTGTCATTATTGGAGATGCCAGTGTCAATCTTATTGGTAGGATGCGGCACTACGGTCTTGGCTCCCTTGGTAATTTTATTGCGTCATTGCTTCAACCTATGAACTTTTATTGTTAATTCATTTCATTTTTGTTCCCTTTTGAACTTCAGATTCCATGTTCAATATATGTGCTTGATTGATCAAGTTTTGCTTCTCCTTCTATCTTTTCTTGCATCTGCATTTCAAGCATTCTTCAACTATAATGACAGTCTCAGTAAGTTCTTTTCCATTGATTTTGCCAAACTTGCGCATTGCAGATTGATGTGGTGAACGACACCAAAATCAGAAGGGCTTCAAGGAGAGTGTCCTTTACATTGCGCAAGGTATGTGGATTTGGGTCTGGCTTTGGTTCTGACTTCATAAAACTCGATTTTTGGAACTGTAAACTAGTTGTTTGGAGAGTAATAATAGCTCTCACACATTACCTTCTTGATGGGGACGGGACGTTCAGTTTTACCTTCCCAGAATGTAGTTGAACGTTCTGTACAACGTGTACAAGAGTGAATAATGGTAATATAACAACGATAACTATGCCTCAATCCAAACAAGTTGGGGCCTGGAACAATATGGTAATACATATAAATCGTGGGAAAAACTATCACGCATAAATTCAAGAAAAATACCATATCTTGAAAATACTTGAACTATTAGTGAGTGCTTCGTTTGTTATCTTCGTATATATTTGCTAATTTTAAGCTATGTCCCCTTGTTATGAAGATCTTTCCCTTCTTGATGCAGGTAAGAAAAGGACCATGCAAATGCGAGTTCCCCGAATACTGTGATTCTCAGAAGTAAAAGACAAATATACACTGATTATGTTTTGCCAGAAACCAGAAGATGTGATCATTGCTTATTTCATTCCGCGTGGTTATGTTCTGTCTGAACCGTTTTCTGGTGAATTTAAACAACCAGGTTCAGGTTGAGGTTGAGGTTGAGGTTGAGGTCGAGAATTTTGATATAAAGCTCAGAGGTTCATTGTGTTTTTAGCTGAACTCTATATTTAAGTTGCATTGAGTAAGTGTCAAATTTTCTTGTGTCCTTTTCTGTTTTCTGGTCTATTGCAGCAGAATTCCAGGACATATCTTTTTTCACATAGTTTAAGGGCATTTTAGACTATTTTCCGTCAAGTAGAAGAAAGAAATATAGGTTTAGACTTTAGTTACCTTCTAGCTAGTTTTTCATAGTAATACACCTTGTTTGGATTTTTGTTACTCGTTGTATTGTATTGTATTGTTAGTTCAAATACAATATATTTGTTTTGATTATTACTTAAATTTTATTGGATTGTATCGTTGAAATCTGTCGTTAGGTAACGACGAAAAGACTCATTTTATGTAACAATCGATTTGGTGTGATCGCGTGGTTGACTAATATTTTCTTCTCATTTTGTCTTAGTTATTATTTAATAATTATATTTCATCTTTTATCCTATCTTTTCATAGTAACTCTCTCTCATGTCCATTTTTTTCGATAGGTTTATCATTCAAATTATGAATATGTGACATTATATTATATACAATCTATCCAAACATTGTAATTCTTTTAAATAATATAATATAGTAATACAATGCAATAAATTATGACACAATACGTAACAACTGTTGAAACAAAGTGTAATAGGATGATAATTTAATGTAAATTATGACAAAAACTCAACATGGGACTTTAATTTGGAGCTTTATTTTCATTTGCGTAGTGATTACTCCATTCTTAATTAATTGCATGAATTATTAATTACATAAAGGTCAATGGTAATCCACGTAGTTTTAACGTGCTCCGCCAAATTAGTCCAATTAATTGACTAAATTGATATAATATTTAACTAAGTACCATACTATATTAGAGTAGGAAGCCCCAATTTTTTTTTAAAAAGTGACTATAATACCTTTTAACATAATATTATGTTAAATATATTGGGGGTTACCAACTTATTACTGATTTTCCGATTGATTTACGCTACATAGATTGATTGAACGCACAAAACCTTTTATTAACATCCATCTATATTTATTTCAACAAAAAAGACTGTAAGGCAAATTATATCAATTAAATTTAACAAAAATAATTGTATATTCTTCCTCATCAATAGATTTTTTCCAAGCCAAAAACTTATATTGTTTATAAACATTTCAAGTGTTTAAGATATTATGAGTCATTTAAAAAAAAATTATAAGACAATTTGACTAGCTTATATCCTAACCAACATGAGTTGTGGTGCACTGGTGGGAGTACTTCATCCTTAACTAGGGGTTTCGGGTTCGAGCCCTGGGTATGGAGAAAATCCTATTGGGAGCGCCACCCTCGAATGGGCCATGCAGAGTACGATCCGAATTTAGTTGGAGCTCCAATGTGGGTTCCGGACACCAGGTGGAAAACAAAAAAAAAAGCTTATATCCTAAGTCATACACCCTTTTATTCTAATATAATTTATATCAGCGTGATAATTTTTATTAATCGATATGAAATACATATGCTACGCACGTGATCGAGAGGCTAGTCAACTTAGAAAATTAAACATAATTCCTTGGAAACAAGTATTAATATGGATAATTCTTAGACTGCATTTTGCACTAAACTCTCTCTTTCTCTCTCATTTTTCCCCCTATTTTCTTTGTCAATCTTTTTTTTTTCTTGCATTTTTTAACATATTTGAAAATATGGGAAGCCAAACAAATTATTTAGGTGAAAATTACACAAAAGAGTTGGAAACACCTACAAATATCACTATAAAAAAGATTCTTGGCTTGTTGATGGGCATCATAGATGAAGGTAATGTTTAAAAATTGTATTTAAATATAAATAATAAGTAATTTTTTTTATATTATAAATGAAAAATTGTGTCTTTAAGTTTGATATATAGGTTAAGTTTTTATTATGTAGTGTTGCTTTTGTTTCAATTATTTGTCTTATAGATTGATTAAAAATATGTATAACGTATCAAAATATTTTTTTAGTTCTTATGGTTTTAAAACACGTTACATGTCAGGTATGATGTTGTATTTATAGAATTATCATTAAATATAGAAATGAATATTCTTTTTTTAGACAGATTAAAAAGAAAGTTAAAATACATAAATTGAGATGGTTGAAGTATTTATATATATTGTATGTTGGATCATTTTGACTTTTTTTACCTGTTTTTTTTTTTTAAAGAAAATTCTAATTCCGTCACTGAAATTTCGGACGGATGATGAAAGGAAGAGTGAAGTGATCTCATTGGGAATAGGAGATCCAACAGCTCATTCATGCTTTCACACAACAAATGCAGCTAAGGAAGCTGTTGTTGAGAGTCTTCTTATTGATAAATTCAATGGCTATTCTCCCTCTGTTGGTCTTCCAACTACTAGAAAGTAATTTTTTTTTCATATTTTATAGTTTATGATTTGTTCTATTAGGGTGTTTTTGGTATGGAGATAAATGTTTTCCAAAGATAAAATGTTTTTTTTTTTGGAGAATAAGTGATTTTTAAATTTATTTTTGGGTGTTTGGTTAGTAAGAAAATATTGTCCCAAGAGCATTTAGGTATAATCTGGATAAATACTATGATACTGAGACAACCATGACTACCAAACAGACACGAGACCTGACTCTGTAACCCGAATCAAAACTTGACTCCCAATCCTGATACTTGACCCCGACTTAAGATCCAATTCCCGATCCTGACACTCGACCCTGACTTGAGACCCTACTATCTATCCAAGACAAGACTTTCAATCTGAGATCCAACTCCCGACCTCAACACTCAACCCTGGCTTGAGAAACGTCTCTCGATCCACGACCCGACCCTAATTCGAGATTAAACTCTCAACCCGAGGACCTAACTCTCAACTCAATCCTGAGCCCAACGATCCTAATTCAAACCCCATTTTCCAAACCGGACATGTGTCCTAACTCCTTACCCCGATTCAAAATTTGACTCTCGATATCCCAACTCAAGATCAATCTCTCAACCTCGATAACCAACCTGGGACCCGATGATGACTCAATTTGGGGCCGGGGTCAGGAGTTGTGATTCGGGTCATCAAAATTCGGATGTTGAGGTTGAGATAGAGTCTTGAAGAATATTTTTCTTACTTTACGAAGTTAGGTCATTTTCCTTAAATTTGAGGAAAACAAGTCTAATAGAGAAAAAAAAAACATTTTTCACAACATTTAAGCCAACCAAACATGAGAGTTATGCATGTTTATTAAAGAATTTAAGTTATATACACTAAAAGTACCGTAAACATGTCATGTCATGTATATATATGAACTTATATTTTGTCAATGTGTCTTATATATACTAAAGTTTTTTTCTCTCTATATATTAACAGGGCAATTGCAAGCTACTTATCAAGAGATCTTTGTTATGAATTATCACCAGAAGATGTGTATATTACTGTTGGTTGCACACAAGCTATAGAAATAGCAGTGTCTTTTCTTGCAAAACCTAATTCTAACATTTTGATACCAAGGCCTGGCTACCCAACTTATGCACTTTGTGCTTCTTTTAGAAATATTGAAGTTAGGTACTATGATCTTGTACCTCAAAATAATTGACAACTTAATTTGGAGGCAATTGAAGATTTGGTTGATCAAAATACTATTGCAATTGTTATTATAAATCCTGGAAATCCTTGTGGAAATGTCTACTCTTATGACCATTTAAAGAAGGTACTTTTTTTGTTATTCTGCACTACGACTCGTTTCAATTGAGCATTCTGAATATATAAAGGGTTTTTATTAGTCACTTTTGGAAAAACTTTTGCAAGTGTTCTCAAGTGTCTATTTATTAGTTAATTAATCACATAAACTATGTCATCTCCTTAATTAAAATTTGTTTCATTTTGTTTAGGCATAATATATAAAAATGTCCTTTAACTTGACCTGAACTGACATCTATGTTCTTCAACTTTGGGTGTGCACAAAAACGCATTTAAACTTGTATATAATTGAACAATTCCTACATGACAATTTGCAGTCTTATATGGCATCTTACGTCTAATATGCCACGTAAGACGTGTGTGTCTGGTGCTTGTTCAACTTTATACACGTTTAAATGTCTATTTGTGCACATCCAGATTTGAAGGACGTAAATATCAGTTGAGGCCAAGTTAAATGATGACACGTTTATATATTATGTCTGTTGTTTATGATTAGATAGCAGAAACTGCAAAGAGAGTGAAGACATTGATCATAGCAGATGAAGTTTATGGACATCTTGCTTTTGGAGAAACCCCTTTTATACCAATGGGATTATTTAGTTCAATAACACCAATATTAACACTTGGTTCTTTGTCAAAAAGATGGTTAATTCCTGGTTGGAGACTTGGTTGGTTTGTCATTAATGATCCTAATTGCATTTTCAAATCCCCTAAGGTATGTTTCTAAATTAATTAGTACTATTAATAATCTTCAACTTTGCAAAAAAAATAATAGTTTGTTGCTAAATAGTAAAAATTTGTTGCTTATTTAGGGGTGGAGCTAGAAAATAATGTACATATTGGTTCGGTCAAACCTTAGTCCAAATATTATGTTTGTCCTAAGAAATTCATTTATTCTGCATTTCAGATGAATAAATAGGTGTGGGGGTAGTGGGACAAGGAGGGGAGGCTACGAGCCCTCTCTCGACTCTCGTTGTTGTTATCGAATTGACCACCCCAAATCTCTTCATTCCTCTTTGCCATGTTCGGTGAAATTAGATTTCTAGAGCGAAGTAAAGTGATAAGAAAAGATAATTGGCAAGGAATAATCCTTATTCGTGAAAGCCCCTTGTTAAGATTAAGGGAGAAGTCTAGAGAATATTTTTTATATAAAAATAAATAAGAGGTATATATGAGTTGCGCAAAAAGTTCTTTCAATTGAAGCGCCATTTAATAATGATATGTATAAGTTATTAATTTAAAACTCAATAGCTTAAAAACGATTAGAATCTTAAATATTTCGTAAGTTTCAAATTCTAATTCCACCTCTATTGATAGTGTTGTACTTATTTATATGTGATACTAATTATCATAAGCTTTTTTATTCATCTCTCAGATTATTGAACGTATCAATAATTATTGTGACATATGTGCAAGTCCCACAACTTTCATACAGGTAAATCGTAGCCTATATATCGTCAGTGTAAATAATATTTTTTCACGATATCAATTCATCTAAATGATATCTATAAATAAGTCTTCTTACCATATAAAATTTGAAATCTTAAAAACATATAAGATATGTTATAAGCTACAAGAAGTGTAAGATTATTTATTCCGATAGTGTATATATCACATAAACTCATAAAAAAATAATAATCTATGTTCTAGAGTTTCAAAATTTACAACTACGTGAGAATGTCCTAGAGTTTCACTTATTGAATCTTTAGCTCTAGAACAATGACTATTTTTCAAATATAGGATAAAAAAGTAGACATATGACATTATTTCTACCTATCCAAACACGTTGTAACGATTGTAATAGATAACCTACCTTATATAAATCAAACGTTAAACTATATTGACAAGGTATATAACTTAATTTATTTTTTTTGTAAAAAATTATTTTGATGTTGCAGGCAGCAGTCCCCAAAATTATTGAAAATACCAAAGAGGATTTCTTCAAAAATACACTCAAAATGTTAAAGAAAAATTCAGATATATGTTATGAAAAGATACTCGAAATTCCATGCCTAAATTGCCCTTATAAACCTCAAGGTTCAATGGTTGTTATGGTAACTCTTTAACTTCCCCAAACCTTTTAATTTCATACACTTTGGTCCCTTCTTTTTTGCTTTTATTTCTTTTTGGTCCTTCTATTTTTTAATTTTAATTTTCTATATGAAGGTGAATCTCAATATAATTCTCCTCCAAAATGTAATTGATGATATGGACTTCTTGTTTAAGCTTGCCAAGGAGGAATATGTCATTTTACTTCCTGGTTAGTACACCAATTCAGAATATAAATGTGTTTTACTTTTATTTTTTTTAATTAATATAAATATAAAACAATTTAGAAATGCTAAAAGGTGAAAGTTAAATATTCAAATATTAATCTAAAATGTGTTTGATTAAATAGGGAGTTTACAAAAGAAGGGGAGATTTTTGGGGATATTAAAAACATCATAAGTATTTGTGGTTCTAAGTATGTCATGATATTTTTGTATTTATTATTAAGAGTATGTTATTACGATTTACGAGTACAATTAGACGTTTAAAGTTACAATGTTTTATAGATGATTTTTCTATATGAATCATACCGTAGACTAGAAAATAGATTTTTAAAAAAAAAACAGAAACTACAAAATAATACCTTCAAATCTGATCCTGTTAAATTCTTTTTTTTCAAAGTCTCTGCTAAATTAATCTAACAAGTAGAATTGGTTAAATATTTGATAGAATATAACCCTTATAGTTTATATACATTTGTTCGATTGGACATGAAATTTATGAAAAAGAGAGACTTTTAATGAATAGCAAAATTATATGTATAATCGTCTTGATAGAGAACATGTTATTAAAAGATAAACATAAAAGTTTAAAGTTAACGAATTTCATAAATAGAAAGTATTATATTTCTTTTGAAAATGAATTAATTAGAAAGAGTAAAATATGATGTAAACTACTTATATTTTATAAAATATTTACACTAGTTATGCATGATAAATGAAATTGTCCTTTTTTATGCAACAAATTTAAACTAATTAGCCTGATTTTATTATTGTTTTTATAAACACAAATTTTTATATTATTTTTATTTTTAAATTTCAGGAACTTCTGTGGGACTTAAAAATTGGATCAGAATCACATTTGCAGTTGAGTCATCTTTTCTTGAAGAAGGATTAAAAAGACTCAAATCTTTTTGCCTCAGGCATTCCAAGCCCCAAAATTTAATTAATTAATTAATTCTAATTTTCTGAATTTCATTTTCATAATTCTTGGTCAATTTGGTGAATAGATTCAAGTATAATGTTTAGTCTAAAACTTTGTTGGATTTCAGTTATTAATATAATTTCCTTATTTAGTTGATATGATTTGCACTTTTTTCGAAAATAATTTCTCTACTACCACAAGATTGTGATATAATTTGCCTATATTTTATCTTATTTGTGGAATATCACTGAGTATATTGTTATTTTCGTCTACCTTTTCAACTCTAAACCATGTGAAATTGGCAGATCCTCAACATGAAAATAATAATAATAATAATAATAATAATAATAATCATGAAAATAATAATAATAATAATAATAATCATGAAAATAATAATAATAATAATAATAATGAAAATAATAATAATAATAATAATAATCATGAAAATAATAATCATGAAAAAAAAAATGAAAATAATAATGAAAATAATAATAATAATAATAATGAAAATAATAATAATAATAATAATAATAACAATATTGTCTACAAAGATTCACAGAAAACATGTTGCTGTTTCAACTTTTCTAAATTTAGTACACCAATCAAATATTATACTAAAGAAGGAGGAATCAAATCAATCAAGATTTCAAAATTAATAATATCCGACATCAGGTAAAAAAATATAATTAAAAGAAAGCATATTATATTGTAAAGAAAAAAAAATATTTTATTTAACTAGTTGATATAATGAAGCAACATGTATATTATAATATACTTTATTTGATACATTTCATAACCAAAGTAAAATTTATCTCGACTTTTCTGATACTTAGGTAAAATTGAGTGACTTTTCTGTCATAGTCTTGTCTAAACGGTGACGAATTCCATGAATTCTTCATCATTCTCCATTGCTAACAACGTGGAAGGCACAACACAAACTTCAATATCTACGCTTCCTTCTTCAACCCCAGGGAATAATGTAACTTTTCCATTGCCTTTATTCGCCATTCCACTTCTCACTGCCACTGGTTTTCCCCAACCAAAATCACAACTATAAATGCTAAATCTTGGAGAACTACTAATTGACAAGTTATTAGCCATAGCACGTGCTCTTTTACTAAGCATCACGGGTTTTTCAACCCATCCTTTGTATGAATTGATCACTTCTTCATAGTTTTGTGAAACAACAACTTTATTTATTTCCAATGCTGCAAATCCAAGTCGATTTTCGAGCAATTCCCCTGCTTTTACCTTAATTGGCTTGAAAATAGCTGCATTTCCCCAGTACTCTTGAGGTAGAGGCGGATTTAACCTTGTTCTTGTGCCAACGATAATGTTGAGAGTGACTTCTTCATTGGCATTGACACAATTACAACGTGTAACGGACCTGTTGAAATTAAAGATGGAATAACGTTTTATAAATGAATAACATGTGATAATTGACATAAAAATTATACGATATAAATAGAAGGCATTGTCTTCATAATAATTTTTTATGACCCCTTAGGTCTAAACAACAAAGTGACCTCTTAAACATAGTAAATTTTCGTTGGTGCAAACAATCACTTAGTCATCCACTTAGAGATAAAAGCATAACGCTTTATACACCTGAGTCCTACGCAGTAGCAGAGCTAAAACTTTATGTAACAAGACATTTATTAAAATGTCATATTTGAAATTTGAACATGTAACCTTAAACAAGTTTTGAACCGCACTACACTAAAATTTTCTCGTATGTCAATGAAATTCAATAGTTTGTCTATAACAAAAAAAACAAACTTATTTTTATTTGCGCAATTCAATGAAGGGGATGCGGTTCAACCTCTTTGACTTTAGATAATTACAGGTGAGTGAGGAATATATCCTATAGATATTGAAACAATCATATATACTCCCCCACCCCTCCTTTTTAAGTAAGGGGGAAGTCGTGCAAGCAAGCAAAGTGAAATCTATTAGAATAAAAAATAGTACAACTCGATCAGTATAAGAATAAAGCCAGGAGGTTGGCAGAAAATGTGACTTTCTTTTCCTTTTCAACTTCTTCCTTTCCGGTGAGGGGAACACAAGGCCTCCCCTCTAGTCTTTGGTATGAATACCAAATTACAAGGGGATATAAAGGCCTTGTAGGAGGATGACTATTTTGGATAGGATATATAGTAGTTCAAAGGGAGTTAGGTACATGCCTTTTTTCCTCTTTCCTAACTGCAATCGCAAGATCAAGATCAAAAGTTTCAGGGTTTTTGCCTATTACACCCCTTTGCTCTAGTGATCGCTTCGTATACTACGCTTTTTATCCATCGTATTGAACTCGTTTAGGCTTTCCCGATAGAAAAATTTGCATGCAATAGAGATCTCAATTCCGTGTATCTGATTAAGCAAGCCATGCCCTCCAGCTTCCACCCAGACAAAAAAGGTGAGCATCGCTCCGCCGCCCCTATTTTATTTGCGGCAACCACTCATAGAGAGTGAAACATAAACAACACATCTTTTCACGAGTAGATGGAGATAATTTCTCAGATGACAACTCAACTAATTGTTATTCTTTGATAAAGTTACTTCTTCTTTTTTTTGAAAAAGAGTTGAAATTAAGAAGATAGATGATTTTCTGAGATAATAACTACTCTCTCTGTCCCTAATTACTTGTCCACTTTTAAATTGACACACTTATTAAGAAAGCAATTATTGACATAGTGAGTTTACCATTTTACCCCTATTAATTATGAAATGGATGGATTAAAAATTTAAGATTTTCAAGAAATTCTACCTTTTTCAAAGTAATTAATTGAGGGTATAATAGGTAAAATTATTTTGTCCTTTCTGGATTTGTCAAAATGGACAAGTAATTAGGGACAACTATAAAAGGAAAAGTGGACAAGTAATTAGGGACAGAGGAAGTATTAATTAATTGATCTTTTGAGAAATCAACCCCGAATAGATGTATCCTATAAAGATCGGATACATCTTCATGATTAATGAACAAAGAAATTGAAACAATAGGCACATTAGATTTTGAATCGCATAAATAAAATTAAAAATAAAATACCTCCATAGATGAGCCAAGAAAGCTTGTAGAGAAGAAATGGACTTAGTACCCATTTCAGAGTTGGCTTTTGCTTTCAATTCACACACATTTTCTTTACTTAGATGAAAAATCCTTTCCTTCAATATTGGCATAGCTATACACTCATATAATTTTTCATCATCCAATTCCAAAGGGAAGTAAATTGGTGGATTTGTATTTTGAGGAAACCATCTTTCTAAAGCCGGAAATCGACTAATTAACTCAGATCCACGTGTTATTTCGGACCAAGAATTAAAAAAATGCCAGAAACAAGTTCCATCCCCGAGGCTATGACTCATACTGCAACCAATAAAGTAACCATCTACGAGCTCAGTTACTTGTACTCCAAGGAGAGGCTTCGTAACACATTGCATGTTACGAACTTTATTGAGTGGGAAAAGGGAATGTACTATAGTTGGCACATAAGAAGATTCAAGAATCTCTTTTACTGTTAACTCTGGAGCGATCGCATGAATGAATTCAGCTCCAGAGTTATTACAAGTGATGGAGAAAGAAGTCATTGTGTTGTCATTAGGGTTTTTGGTAGTGGAGAATCGCCCGGCTAGTGGTGGGAAAAAGTCTAAGGTGCGCGAAAGCGAGGCTTTCAAATGATCAACTAAAGAAAGAGAGTCGAGTGATTTGACCAGGTTGTTTTGTTGTTGTGGAGTTGGTTTCTTGAAAAGAAGGCCTTTTTGAATTGTGCCAACAAGGAGGAATTGTAAATCCCATGGTGTCATATCAATGTTTTGGGAAATGTGTTTGTTGCCATTGTTTGAGTTTGAAGATGCTCTAACTAAACAAGTAGAGATGATTTGAATTTCTTCCATTTTTTTCTCTAAGGAGTAAGTGGAATGAAAAGTTTGGGTGTAGTAGGTGTATATAATGTAACATTAATAATTAATAATAAATGCAAGTTGATCATGACATGGTCAGAAGCACATGCCTTGAGATCTGAAATTAAATTGTTTCGCCAAACATTTGAAATTATTGGGATTATTTAGTTGAAAAAAAGTATTTTGAAATTAAGGTATAGCTCTTGCCTCAATTTTTTCTTTAAAATCAGAGATTGTTTCAAAAAAAAATTTGTACCAACAGCACAAGGATATTCCTACGTTTTTTATGGGTGTACTATTAATTATATTCTAATTTATGCTAATTTCTCAATATAGATATACATATATACACATTATTTTTTCGAAGTTAAAGGGTGCACGTGCACCTCACCCTAACATGTGGATCCGCCTCTAATCATACACGTGTTAAAGATTAAAACAACTTAATATTGAGAATTAAGAAATCTTATATAAAATTTTTGCTGGAGACTAAAATATAAGATAATTTTCTCATTTATCTAAATGTTAGTGGACATAATTACTTGTTACATGTTATCTGTCTAATTCTTAGTAGACAAAGTTACTCAAACATGTGGTGATAGAAAGTGTTAGCGTCATAGCATGGATCGTATCTATGTTATTTAATTGACATAATACACAAATATATTCTTTAACTTGGTTTTGATTGGTACTTATACCCTCCAACTTTAAATATATACAACTATGCACTTAAACTTCTATAAAATTAAATAAGTAGACATATGCATGCGTCTTAGGTGTAGGGCTATTTAAAATCGATAATCCAAACCAATATTTTTTTAGTGATTTATCGATAATGGCTTAATGATTCAGCGCTCATATTAGAAACTCAAGGAGGAATTGTAAATCCAATGGTGTCATATCAATGTTTTGGGAAATGTGTTTGTTAGCATTGGTCGAGTTTGAAGATGCTCTAACTAAACAAGTAGAGATAATTTGAATTTTTTTTCATTTTTTTCTAAGGAGGAAGTGGAATGAAAAGTTTATGGTTTTATGAGGAAAAGTTAAGGTGTATATAATGAAGCATTTGTAAAATATTTATTTTAAAAAATTATATCACTTAAAATATAACTAGTGAGGGAATCATGTGAAAGAGATGGTGAAATATGAAATAATATTTTTAAAAAAGGATAGTAAGTCACAAAAATATAATATCACTCATATATATATGTTGTTAAATAATCTTTTTGCCTCAGGCATTCCAAGCTCCCAATTTTAATTAATTAATTAATTAATTAATGCTAATTTTCTGGATTTCATTTTCATAATTCTTGGCCAATTTGGTGTTTAAATTCAATAAGTCTAATATTTATCCTAAAACTTTGTTGGATTTCTATTAGTAATACAATTTCCTTAATACAGTTGATGGAATTTGTTGTCGTACCTTTTCAACTCTGAACCATGTGATATTGGCAGATCCTCTACGTGAAAATATTATTATTTTATATGCATAAAATAATAATATAGTCTACAAAGATACAGAGAAAACACGTTGCTCTTTCAACTTTTCCAAAGTTTAGCACACCATTCAAATATCGTAAAAAAGATAATATTTGAAATCTGATATGAAATCATAATAACCCTCCCACCCACCACCAACCCAAGATTTACTTGAGTCAAGGCAAATTCCACCATCCAATGACTTTATATGTGATACTTTATTCGATAAAGTTAGAATAATATTTCATTATAAAAATATAATTTATCTCGACTTTCTTGATACTTAGATAAAGTTAAGTGACTTTTCTGTCATAGTCTTGTCTAGACGGTGACAAATTCCATGAATTCTTCATCATTCTCCATTGCTAACAACGTTGAAGTCAAAAGACAAACTTCAATATCTACGCTTCCTTCTTCAACCCCAGGATATAATGTAACTTTCCCATCGCCTTTATTCGCCATTCCACTTCTCACTCCCACTGGTTTTCCCCAACCAAAATCGCAACTATAAATGCTAAATTTTGGAGAACTACTAATTGACAATTTATTAGCCACAAAAAGTGATTTTTTACCAACTATCACGGGTTTTTCAACCCATCCTTTGTATGAATCGATCACTTCTTCATAGTTTTGTGAAGCAACAACTTTATTTATTAGCATTGCTGCATAGCCAAGTCGATTTTCGAGTAATTCCCCTGCTTTTACCTTAATTGGCTTGAAAATAGCTGCATTTCCCCAGTATTCTTCGGGTAGAGGCGGATTTAGCCTTGTTCTTGTACCAATGACAATGTTGAGTGTGACTTCTTCGTTGGCATTGACACGATTACAACGTGTAATGGACCTATTCGAAAAATATTAGAGATGGACTTACTAATTATAAGAACGTAATGCATGAATATGATGTGATGATTGACATTAAAGGATACGATATAAATAAAAGACGTTGTGTTCAGAAGAAATCGACATGACTCATTAGGTACAAACACCAAAATAGTAGATTTTCTCATCTGTCAAGGAAATTCAACGGTTAAAGTTATGTATAACTAAAAGCAAACTTATTTTGAATAGCGCAATTCAATAAAGGGGATATGTTTCAACCTAACTCTATATAGCTCCGCCCCTACTTCTAAAGATACAATATTGAATCGCCCCTACTAAATAGAAGTTTTGAAAAGTTCATTAATTTGTCATATGTAAATAAAAATTGAAACAATAGGCACATTATATTTTGAATTGCGCGAAATTAAATAAGAAAAAGTACCTCCATAGATGAGCCAAGAAAGCTTGTAGAGAAGAAATGGACTTGGTATCCATTTCATAGTTGGCTTTTACTTTCAATTTACACACATTTTCTTTACTAAGATGAAAAACCCTTTCTTTCACTATTGGCATCTCCATACACTCATTTAATTTTTCATCATCCAATTCTAAAGGGAAATAAATTGGTGGATTTACATTTTGAGGGAACCATCTTTCGAAAGTCGGAAATCGACTAATTAACTCAAATCCACGTGTTATTTCGGACAAAGAATTAAGGAAATGCCATAAACAAGTCCCGTCTCCGAGGCTATGACTCATAGTGCAACCGATAAAGTAACCATCTACGAGCTCAGTTACTTGTACTCCAAGTAGAGGCTTTGTAACACATTGCACGTTACGTACTTTATTTAGTGGGAAAAGGGAATGTACTATAGTTGGCACGTAACATGATTCAAGAATCTCTTTTACTGTTAGCTCTGGAGCAATGGCATGAGTGAACTCAGCTCCAGAGTTACTACAAGTGATGGAGAAAGAAGTAATTGTATTGTCATTAGGGTTTTTGGTAGTGGAGTAACGCCCCGCTAGTGGAGGGAAAAAGTCTAAGGTGCGCGAAAGCGAGGCCTTCAAATGGTCAACTAAAGAAAGAGAGTTGAGTGATTTGACCAAGTTGTTTTGTTGTTGTGGAGTTGGTTTCTTGAAAAGAAGACCTTTTTGAATAGTCTCAACAAGGAGGAATTGTAAATCCCATGGTGTCATTTCAATATTTTGGGAAATGTGTTTGTTGCCATTGTTTGAGTTTGAAGATGCTCTAACTAAACAAGTAGAGATGATTTGAATTTCTTCCATATTTTTTTTCTAAGGAGGAAGTGGAATGAAAAGCTTATGGTTTTATGAGGAAAAGTTTGGGTGTAGTAGGTGCATATAATGGAGTAGTTGCAAAAAAAAATCTTTAAAATATTAGATCACTTAAAAGATAACTAGCATGAATCACATGACAGAGTTGTTGAAATATGAAATAACATTAAAAAAGAATCATTTGATGCACTATAAACTTGTGTTACATGGGAAGTTCAAGAAAAGATTTGACCATAACGATCTTTTGTATACAGTCTTATTTTGCATTAATTATGTTAAGAGATTATCTCTATCATTCAAATTATTACCTCACGAACATATGACAATAATTTTATCAGTTATACCAATTTCAAACATAAAAAATATGATGGTAAAAGAATATGTTGAACCATTTCTAGGTTGGGGTGATAAAGGTAAAAGAGCGGTAAAAGAATATGTTGAAACATAATAATGCAAGTTGATCATGACATGGTCAGAAGCACATGCCTTGAGATCTGAAATTAAATGGTTTTACCAAACATTTGGCTGGCTGAACAAAGATTGCTTGGATTGTTTAGTTGAAAAAAAAGAAAGTATTTGAAGTTAGGGTATTGTTTCAATTTTCTAGTGGGATAGTTGAGGGAAGCGATGGAAGAACTAGACGTATCTTACTAGGTTAAGACAGATTAAAATAAATCGCTTAGGCAGAAGAAAGAACTAGAACGTAAAGATGGTGGAATTGCAAAAGGAGGTAGAAGGGAGCTAGGGGGATTATGGAAATAAAGGTTCTCGCCTTCATAGACACATATTTTTACAGAATAGATCTCAAAGCTAAAGATTAGGCAGAAGAAAGAACTAGAATTAGAATTTTTCGCTCCTTTTCTTGTACCAAGAAGCAAGTTCAAAACATATGAATAATGAACTTATCTATTATAAATCTCGAATGTTAAAAAAAAAGAATATTTGGCCATATAATTAAGAAAATATTTGTGAACTTGACATATATTTTTAAACCTAATACTTGCTGATCCACTGAGATTTGTTAAGGAATTAGGTATAGATAGAGATGTAAAAAATGTATTATATCAGAGTTTGATATGATTCTTTTTGTTTTCTCCTCTCAAGATCTTCCTCCCTTTCTCTCTACGAAGATTCGCGGTTTTTGCTTTAGATTCGATTAATTAAATTTTTCTTGATAAGTTTCATTTGGGGTAAGATATTCACATCAAAGCCGATTTTTCAATGTTTGAACTTTGAATTTATCTTTGATTAAGACTGAAGAAATACTTTATTTTAATATGAAAAAAATAAAAATGTATGACTCTACTATAATGGACCCACACCGATAAAGTGTCTTGACTTTACTTTTATAAAAAGTTTTATTGTAATTTAATAGTAATAAAGTTTATTGTAATTTACTACTATAGTGAATGTAGTCAGTTTAATGTGACACTCTAATGTTACTAAAATTTGTATGACTACACATAAAATTAAACTAAACATAAACGTTTGACAAGATATCTTTCTTAATTATGCTTTCAAAGTTTAGATATACTATTAACTTAATAATCATACATGTGTTTAGATTAAAACAACTTAATATTAAGACCATCACATTTAAAGATGTGACTTAATAGTTAGTAAAAAGGGTTGAGAATCACGAAATATTTTATTAAAATTTTGGCGGAGACTAAAATATAAGAAAACCTTCTCATTTATCCAAATGTTAGTGGACGTAATTACTTGATACATCTTATTTATCTAAATCTTAGTAGACAAAGTTGCGCACACAAGTGGTGATAGAAGGGTTAGTATCATAGCGTGGATTGTATCTATGTTATTCAATCGACATGATAAATAAATATATTCTTCAACTTGGCTTTGATTGATATTTATGCTACCAATTTTAGATATATATAAATATGCACTTAAACTTCTATATAATTAAATAAGTAGACACATGCATGTGTCCTAGGTGAGGATTGTTCAAAACTGAACTGAAACCGATAACCCAATAGTAAATTAAATAATTATATTTATACCATTTGGTATATAAAGTTTTTGATTTAGAATTTAGTTTCATACTTTTATTTTAGATTGTCTCAAACTTTCGGTTATCCTACAATGTGAAAGTGTTTGGTTTTGAGCAAGATGCATTCAGGCAATTCATGTGCATGGTTCATTTGGTTTGTCACCTTATTTCTAAGTGATTTTTTAATAATTTTTTTGTGTATCAAATCTTATTAACGGTTAAACTGATAACAGAACCGATAACGATCAATAACTACTGATAAACCAATATCTTAACGATTCTATAAAGATTTAGTATGTCTATACAAACTGATAACTAATAAGTCAAATCACTAACTACAAAATCGAACCGAACCGACCGATACGCAACACAAATTCTGTACTGAAAAATTCCCTGCAATTTCTAGGGTTCCATTTTCCTCTCAAAAAACTCTTTTCTGCTTCCAATTCAAGCACAAAAATTCGTATATGAAACCGCCAAACACATTCCAAATTGGTTTCGGATTCATATAATTCAGCATTTTTAGAATTTGGATTTATATATATTTGTTTGTTTTTGGTATTTAATTTTATTATGATGATCATTTTTCTCCTCCGTTTTGCTCCAATTAAGCTCACTAATCTTCGTGTTTTTGGCCCTGGTTTGAATCCTTTTGCTCCTTACAACTTTGCTAATCATTCCTCTCGTTTTTGCCTATTTTGCTTTGTTGCTTCTCTTTTTTCAATCAATTATGTAAATTGAAATAAAGGGTCTTCGAAATTACCGCCATGTTAGAATAATAATTCAAAGTTGGAATAGGAATCCTAAATTGTTTAGGATTTGTGATTGTTTTGTATTTAATTAAATTAATGTATTGTTAGGATTTTTTTTTGTCATAATTCATATAGGAATATGCTTTCTAATCCTTGTTTAATTTGGTTGCTTACTATTTATAAATAGATATGTTACTAGTTATTTTCAATATACCGAAAATACATAAACATACATAGAACTTGAAGTAAACTTCAACAACTTAAAGTTTATAAATAAAATATTTTCTTTCATCACCTTTTTTGGGTCTTAGTAGCTGAAGAATTTCTGGGTTGTTTTAACAATCTGTTGCTGGAATTTGTAAAGAAAAATGCAAGAAGAGGGATTGAATATAAGTAGGGGTTCAAGACGAATGCAGATTATTACAGGCGGTTATATGGATGATCGAGGTTGGACTCTGCTTCATATTGTTGCTCGGAAAGGTGACCTGAAAGAGGTACTATTTGTTCGTTTTAGTTAATACTAAGGGGTCGTTTGGTTGGAAACAAGTTATCCAAGATAAGTTATCCTGGGGTTAGCTATCTTAGGATAACTTATCCCACCATGTATATGGGATAACTTATCTCATCACTATAATATAAATGGTGGGATAAGTTATCCCAAACATGGCAACCAAACAACATAAATTTTTTTTATCCCATCACTATTATTTTTAATCCCTTCACACCAAACGAGCCCTAATAGTAGTTCTGAGAGATCCGTGTTTATATTCTTGTCTTGGTTTCCATTCGTTATGTTTACAACAGGTCAAGAGACTTCTTAATGAAGGCATGGATGCAAATGTGACTGCAGGGGGGCCTAAAACACTTGGTGTGACTCCACTTCATCTAGCTGCTAAGGGTGGTCATGTTCGAGTTATGGATGAGTTGCTCGAGAGAGGTGCTGATATTGATGCAAGAACCAAAGGTGTCTGTGGATGTACGTACCTGTATTCATGTAATAGTCGTTCATCCTCTATGATGTCCTTACTCCTTACCTTGTTTGTGTGCTCGTTCCTTCGTTGCAGGGACTCCACTCCATCATGCAGCTAAAGAAAGAAAGAGGAAAGCAATCAAATTCTTGATCAGAAATGGTGCATTTTTGCCAGATGAAATCCATGATATCAGGTTCAATCCTCCACTTCACTATTGTCCTGGTCTCGAATGGGCTTACGAGGAGATGAAACTGCTGCAACTAGAGAGTTCATCCTCTAACACCTCAGGAAACTGAGTGTGCAACAACACTTCTCTAAGCATGTGTTCCACGAGGAAGAAACGTTTACAAGCATAGCCATGTTCTAGATTTCTCCATTCATAATCAACTTCGTCACATCTAGAATTGTCATCAGTAAACTCCACAGTTACAGTCTCAATGGATAATGGATCGTCTCTTCTATCCTTCTCTACTTAAATACTATTTTTTTGTACTTATAACACATTGTTATTAATACTTGGAAAGTGTAGAGTTACAAAGCATACTTACCTACATTATTTCATCTGCAATATTCAACAGCAGATATATATAGAATTTAAAGACCTAATAATATAGCAGTCAAGATAGCACAGAAATTTAAAAATTTAATTACAAAATAAACCAAAAAAGAAGAGGGTATTCGAATTGATTTACGTAGTTTTTGGTACAAATTCCTTTTTCATATCCAGCGTTTGTTGCGTCTTGAGTCGTTGCCTCCATGAAACCATCTATCTAAATGAACATTTATTGGCCCTCTAGTCCTGCAACCATTAATCATACAAATTTTAACCGGAATACGGGCATTAATCATGGGTATCGAGTAATTCTGTCCACCCAACTTAGCCAATAGAAAGAAATCACTCTCTAAGTCATAATGATAATAAAAATAAAAGAGCAAAATTAAGGTAAATACTTACACTGGAAGGAGAGCATCAGGTATTAACTCAACACTTGAAACTAATCTGCAATAAAATAAAACACAATTAATTAAGTTAATTACAGAATTTTTTCTTTTTATTTCAAAGACTTACTCTACTAAGTTTGTGTTTCTTCTATGAATATTTTGCTTTCACAATGTGATGTTTTATTGTTTGAATTCGACCGAAAGAACAAGGATCATAGTGTAGTGATCAATATTTCTTCATTCGTAATCAGAGATTTCAGGGTTCAAATCCTAGCACAATCGCTCCTTTGTTAGGAAAGGCTTTATCAGGTCACAAAGTGAATCTTGACTTAGTCGGACATCAATGTAGATACCAAACATCGAGTTCTTATATAAAATTTGCATATTCTTCTTCTTTTAGCACTCC